TTCAAGTGTATAAACTGGTAGCCATCAGGCTCAAGTGTATAAACTAGTAGCCATCAGGCTCAAGTGTATAAAGTAGTAGCCATCAGGCTCAAATGTATAAACTAGTAGCCATCAAGGTCAAATGTATAAACTAATAGCCATCAAGGTCAAATGTATATCAAGATCAAATGTATAAAATAGTAGCCATCAGGGTCAAATGCATAAAAACTCCTAGTAAATGTCTAAATATTGCCAGATGATGGTTTTTTTGTTGAGGAAATAGATAAAGGACATTAGTATCAATGGCGATTCCCATTAGTGGGCTCATATGATAGTGGTCATTTAGCATTAAGGTAAAAAAATACACATATGTGTGTCTCTGTGTATTTGTGTGTGTGTGTGTGTGTGTGTCTGTCTGTGTCTGTGTCTGTGTATGTGTATGTATGTGTAAAGCAAGCAAAAAAGCATTCGGTAGTAGGTACAATTCCATTTAGCAATTCCTTTTATTTGTTTACGAGCATAATCCATCGCCATTTTTTATGCTGATTGTTGATACTTTTTATTTCGTAATTCAATTTTTGATTCATTAAAATAGTTACAATATAATCGAGATGGGGTCAAAGGTCAACTCACAATCATTTCTTTACATTTATCCTCACAGTTCACAAACATCAGTATAGAGCACTACATTGTAACCTGTTAATTTTTGCAATCAGCTGTTTTTAAAAACTTTTACATCTTAAAAGTAATAGTGACATCAGTGATATCAAAGTGACATCAAATCATTTAGGACTTTAATCTTTTCATAAAATGATATGTCAACTAAACTAAAATAACTCATCCTTTCTTGTGAATCATGACAAATAAGCTATGATCTATTACTTATCATCATAATGAACAACTATCAATTGTGTCCCATTAATTATCATCATAATAAATGACTATTAACAATTAATTATCTGTGATTTTTAATTTTTAACTTAATACCACTTGATGATAAAACGAATTTTTTTAGAAAGAAATACAGATTTGAAATAATATCAATAATTTTATCATCCATTATCACTCAATGTTAAATCAATCAATCAATCTTCAATCGATTTTTTTCTTTTTTTAGGAACATTTGAGCATTGTGTTTCGATTGATAAACAAATTAGTAATTGTACTAAAATCTGTCTGTTTTCCTTTTATTCTTTAATTACTTTCTTTTTTAACTTTTAAAGAAATTACATTTTAAAGTGGAAATGATATATCAACTTTTTTTTTTATACACTTATATACTTTTCCTTAGAAAAAAAAAAAACGAAAAAGTAATCTTCATTAATATCCATTCCTCTCTCTCCCTCTTTCCTTCTCTTTCCCTCTCCCTCCCTTTCTCCCCTCTCTTCCTTACAAAGATTAAAATTTCAGTGCTAATTGAACTTTTTCTTTTTTATCACAATGATTTTTAAAGAATATTTTCGTTTGGTTTTTGGTTCAATTTGAAATTTCAGATCAACTCGATTAGCTTTAGCTCATTTCATTCCAGTTCAGTTCATTTAAATTTAAACAATCATTTTTTAAACTTTATTTCTCATTACTTAAATTGTATACAAAATTTCTGTTCTTTTATTGCTTTTTATGCTTTTTGCATAAATTTAAAATCGATCGATATGAATGAAATTTATAAAAACTTGCATTTGTGGTTTAAACCGGATCCAATTTAGGAAGACTCTTACTATCCCTACGGGATGTCTTCATTTCATTGTCCATTTTAAAGATAGCTTTATTTCACTATCCTTAAACTTCAGTTATTTCGAATTACTTCTTTCAACAATTCCTTTTGTTGCCTCTTTTCTTCTCGTTTTTTTTTTTATTTAAATTCTCTAAAACTCGACCTTTTGATTTCGATTTTGATACTTCAATACTGCATAGTTTTGTTTCACGAGGTAAAGATGTACTGTGTAATGTTAGATTGTAAGCATATATCAAGTAATTCCTATTTAAGAAATAACTACGATGACATTTGACCTTTATGTCATACCGAATACGAGGAACTTACTGGTAATAATTCGCTGTTAGTAATAATTCGGCGTACTTTGAAAAGTCGAAAGCGATTAGGTTTATTCACCCCCCTCAATTGATTGATCAGTTTGTTTCATATAATAATCGATAAACAATCAGATAGTTTTGATAACTGATATTATCATAACTTTAATGATATACTGATACTGCAGTTAATCTTCATTCCACTCTATTCGATTAAAGTGATAACATTGGCAATGGGATTCTTACAGGAATTAACCCGCTTAACTGTTAAAAACTTTTGTGACTTAGGTCAACAATTAGACCGAATGATTTAACGGTCAGGTTGATTAATTAATCCCTGTTGAATCATAATGCTACAATAGTAGTAATCTTCGACATCTTCTCATTTCTTCTTTTTGTTCTGATACTTAAATTTAAAAAATGCTGTTTTATTTTTTATGGATGATTGCTGACTTTTGAAAACCAGAAAACCGGAAACACTATTAGTAAAGCACTGAGGAAGATTGTTTTAATTAATGGTACCTCAGACCTGCTAATTTAGCTGATCAACAATAGATCTTTAACTTACCGGATATCTGTTTCTTAATGTATTATGTGACCGTGCACAGATATTTATAACTATTTACTCTACGCTATTAAACTAGAATTGTTTCATGAAATTGTCACTAACACTGTTTCAGATTCTGAAATTATCACATAACATTTGATTTCATTTCAATTATTCGATTTAAAAATTTTTAGAAGTACTCGATATTGATGTTGCAAAAGATTTTAATGAACCATTGGGCTAAAAGCCATTGGATTGAAATGTCTGAAAACAGCATGAAATGAGGAGGACACTAACGGTGACACTTATCGCTCTACAGTTACTATTCTTCAGTCATCTGGTACATTCCATGATCAATTTATTCATTTCTAGAACTGAAATGAATCGAACCTTAGGTAAAAATACAAACAATTTAATTCTGTTTTATATTTTCTTATTTGTTTACTTTTTTTTTGCACATTACTCATTATCATTTACCTATTTCATTTTCTCATAAAAAAATTTCACATTCAGATGAAACTTTCTAAAAAGGACATCTCATTTCAATAATATTTATATTTTAGATGAAACAAGTTGAATTATAGGTTTGGATGTACAGTTGAACTATATTGAAAATGGTGTCATCAATTTGTATTCTGTTAAATTTCCCTACCGAATCAATACAGGCATCTCTTATGTACAATTCTCCTGGAATGCAAAAATCATTGATCGACCGGTTAATTACTTTTATTTTAGTTAAATAACTTTGAATTAAGATGAAATAATTTGATGATAAGCAATTCAATTTATGACATTTCGATCGATATCATTAAACCATCTATATCTATAATTGTCCTCTTTTTTGAACCCCTCTAAAAGTTAAAATGAATCTAACACTAATTGCTTATTAATTATTTTCTAGCCATTTCTGATAAACTTTTCGTTTTAAAGCAGAAAAAAGGTTCCATCTTGCAGATGCATTATACGATACGAGTAATATCACATGCTAATGATGTCATCCCATTACTTCATATACCGCCAAGCGGAAAAGTTCCATTAAAAACGGAAAGTTAGTTTCCTTTTCTATTTTCAAGTTTAAAACATTGCTAAAATATTTTAGTTAAGCCAACTAAAAACAATTTTTATTTCTAACGTTTGATTTTTTTCTTTTGCTCTTATCTTTTAAATTATCAAAATGCTATTTTTACTGATAATCTAAGCCATTTGAATTACTTATGATAAGTAATCGTTATTGAATATTTTCGTTCCAAAGTTTAT